TCTATTCTAGTCTCTGTGGTATATGGAATGTGTGACAGATATATTTATATATGTTGCTTTTCGTCTCGTGGTGAGAATTTCGATAGCCCACTGCCCCCTTTAATAGCCCATTCTCCTCTTTATCATATATCTCATTTCTACTTCTAAGAGGCCGGCAACACAATAATAACTCCTCTGGGGTTGAGAGTGAACATGAGCAATGGTGACCATCTACTCTTTAAGGTCTTGCATGTTCATTTGCCTCTTAAAAATGCTATAAAAAACAGCCATTATTTGAAACTTATAAAGGGGTTTTAATTGTCCCATCACAAAATATGCCACGCAATAAATATTTGTGAGTTTTTTTTTTATAATTTATCTCAACTGGAGAGAGAAGACGCCACTATCAAAAGTCTGCTTCTGTTCAAAAAAATCGTAAATCCAGAGCTGTTATTCCCTAACTTCTAACCATTAAGGAGCGCTATGGCTTCCATCGTCAGCTCAGCAGCATTAGATGATAACTTCTAGACGCAAACACTTGAATAATTAAAAAGAGGTCAAACACCTGCCTATAGAATTTAAGGGTATCCCTCGATTTCTGGGATCGTATTATCAGATTCTAACTTAGTGACTATGGGACCACTTCGAGAAGTATAATAACCCTTTCGAATAAAAAAAATATTTTCAAAATGGGTTTACAATTTACGTAGTTGCCGTAGATCAGACTTAAAAAAACACATACAGATGAAAATATAACCTTCTCCTTTTTTTGACGTCGGTTAAAAAGACGTACCTATTTAAATGAAACATTATGCAAAGACTCAAGTCAACTGAAGTATTACTTTTAGAATTGTACGGCGACAAACATACAGAAAATGAATGTTTATATATTCTATAGATTTTCAGAAAATCTATAGAATTATATTTATACGAGCACATACAAGTTTTTCATTTAAAATAATTAGATTTTGAAGAAATTTTTTTATGTTGTAAGTCGTTTTTTTATTATATGTGTAATTTTCTTCTCTTAAACATATTTTTATAGCATTTATGAAGGACAAACGGGAATGCGAGTCACCAGTGAGTATATAGGTGATTACTACTGCCCACAGGCACTAGTAAACACCGAAGGAATCACCAGTGCGTTGCAGGTCTTTTGGGATGAAATAGGATATCTGATGGAGAGGGAGGTAGGCTGATGGAGTAGGGGGAGTTGACCACCGGGACTCTTACTCACTGAAAAGAACGCAACAGCAGAAGCTATTTCACGTGTATATTTTTTGAGAGTGAGATATCTAAACAGTCAAGCTAGATTTGGCCCTACCACATGGCTCTGCTCTCTGGCTCTGCCTCTACCATTTTTGTATCAATTTGTAAACATACATCAATTGCCGTACTACCTAGAAGTTTATACATTAGCTCCATGTTAGAGCATTAAACCGATGCACGCGACAGCAGTCGGACACGACCGCCTGGCGTGCTAAAGCGTCGTTTGCAGATAAATTATGAGTCGCCGGCCAGCTTGCTAGTTATAGCGTGCATTTTTAAAGCAAATAAAAACAATCACTGCATTGCAGAAATACTACAGCAGTTAGCTACGGTAAATAAGAGTATTAAGATATACTTCTAACGCATAAACGTTGACATAGCTTGCGGGTAGGAACGACGACGACGTGGATCGGTCGCCATTTCCATTTTTCTTTTCTTTATTTTTCTTTTATACATAATATATAAATAGGGGCTACATCACTACGTTTCTGCACCTATTTATGCATTTTATATCACAACATATAAGTAGAACACCTGTATGTCTGTACATTGAAGGTACGTATGAAAAATGAAAATGGTACGATAAAACAAAGGTAGTGTAAGATATAACAAAGATTTATACATTTTTGTCTGTGTCTGTCAGTTAGTTCACGCACATATCTGAAATTTGTCAACATATTTTAAAACGGTTGTCACAAGTAAATAGAGTTTAACTTGAAGCAGAAGATAGACTTTATTTCTAAAGAAATTTAGAAATTGAGTATATAAGAAGAAGATTTAAAAATCGCGTATCAGGTTATCCTAATTTTAAAATCTAGCTTGAAAAGTTATAAGGCAAATTATCATTAAGCAAAATGTTATAGTATAAACGAACAACAACGGTAAAATAAAAAAAAAACAATCGTGCACTCGACCTTGTTTTTTTTGTGACGCACTCCACTTTTGAAAAATGTGAAGAAATTGAGAACGGGACCGATGTAGAAGCCGAGTGTGAGGCCGGAATTATCGTCATCTGCATAATCATATATAATCAAAAATGTGACCGGGATCGAAATTAAGAACTGCACCGGGACCAGAATTGAAAACGAGGACGAACTTGTGATTGACAGCAAAATTGTTCTATATAGAACAGTTGAAGAAACTGTTATAACTTCAACTGTTATATAACAGTTGAAGGAACACCATCTACATCCACGCTGTCAAAACCACAGGCGGAAAGCTAGGAAGTAGAATAAAGTATGAAAAAATCAAATGAACATCCACCTTGCTTTAAAAATAATCATGATTAAACAAACCTGGCATTAGAGAACGAAGAATTGTAACCCCAAATTAAACGGAAAGGGAAATTACAAAGAGAAAACAAATTAGATAGTTTCAAATATTCAAAATACAACACTTTACATGCTAATTGGTAGGCTGTGATGCAATCAAGCAGCTGGTAAACCGTACTATTCGTCAGGCCGCCGGTTGTCAAAATAAATCGTGGTCGGGATCATACTCGAAATGACGATCATCGGATCCAGGATCTAAATTAGTAACTATGGTATGCATGCGAGTAAGGTACATTCATTAGTTTAGACCGTAACCGCCAAGCATCGCCGCACAATTAAAAGCGACCGCACGCGACAGTCCTTCCGCATCGCCGACGACTCGGCGCCCGTCGCGGTCGCGGCACGAGGCAGGCGTGCAGAAAATGGTCACGGCATCCGATACTAAACGCTGCGTTGCATAAGTCGTTGCAGGTTACTGCAGACGGTGCTGAAAATAGTATATAAGTCACGGAAATAATAATTAGATTTCCATTCGGCAACATTTACTGAAAAATCGTTTTTCTTGGCTAATTATAAAACTTTTGGGACTGAAAATTAAAATTTATGTTTGACGTAGTTTCAAAAGTCGATGTAGAGAAGTAGCTTAATTTTAAAGTACTACTTTTGAAATCAACGTACAATCAATTTACAAATTTCAATTAAACCGGCTTCTCACTTTTGCTAAAACAGTTCCCTAATAAATCAAAAAAAGAAACGTTAAGTTAATACAAGGGCCACTTTGGAATTGTTATGATACCGTCAAACGCCGGTTTTCCCGCGGTATGATTGAATATGCGTACAAATCCGTTTCACCACAAAAGCGCGCGTAGTAGTCACTTACCCGCATTTTTAAACATAGGTGTCGAAAAGTATATTTCTGAGAAACAAGTGATGTATTTCAAACGTGAGCAGTGGCGAATTATGATATACTATGATTTTAAGATTGGTTTATCTGAAGAGCGATGTGTGCAGTGGTTACAGTCAGCGTTTAATAATGAAGCACCGTCTCGAGCCAGTATGTTACGTTGATTTAGAGAATTTCCTAGTGGATACAACTCACTTCAAGATGAACGTACGGGAAGGTCTGTTTCACCAGTTACTTCAGATAATGCTCGTGAAATGTAAAAGATGACACTCAATACACCTACCACATGATTAACAATACTATTAGTATTGAATTCGCATCGGCGTATAAGATTTTGCGTATTGCATTAGAAATGAAAAAGACTGTTAATCGTTGATTTTCATATCATATTACATAATACCAAAAATCAGAGCGTGTAAGGATCAGATCGACAGACATCAAAGTTATTGAATGAAGGCCGTCACCGCATAACACCTAAAATTGTAACAGACGATGAAACGTACATTTCGTTTTGTGATTAGCCTACATGTCAATGGTATGGGTTCACAAAGATGATTCAACGTACAACATCCTGAAAAAACTGCGTACAATGAAAGAAGTTATTTATGCGGCGTTTTTATAAAATACAGCCTTGGTCAAAGGTATTAAATGGAAAGGACAGAAAAACTGTCACTACGGCCTGGTACACACAACACTGCTTGTTAGAAGTTCTCTACACCCCTACGAATTAATTTAATTAGCTTAATGTTACACCATGACAACACATTCTAACATACTGCTGGCAACTTTTGATTATCAGAATATGGTAATCTACTGTGTCTACACGAGAAATAAATGGTAATTTATTCTCTCCACAAACAGGCAGCTTGTTTCTAAAAGTACATTTTACAATTAAATGGTTATCTAAGGATTATGAGAGTTTAGTGTCTAAGTAGGGTACAGTGTACCTGTATTATGAGGAACCAGGATCCCACATCACAGTACGTATTCTTGAGAAACATAACGTGAAGATTGTTATTATATTTAAAATAATAAGAAAAATGTATTGATTTTATCAACAAAGTTTATTCTTATTTATTATTTTACTACATATTTGCTTTATTGGTATTTACTATTTATAAATTCTAATATTAACTTAAATATTTGACATCTTCCGGGCGTCCCGTGACGGTCAAAAGTTTCTTTTTGAGAAACATTAAGCATAAACAATTAAATAATGCAAATTCAAAAGTGAATTTAATTTTATTTATTACTATGTAGTTATCACACATAAATCTATTAAATAATATTAATAGCAGTTTTAGTAGAGCCTATGAGGATGTATAGTTAAAAACCAAAAATGAGAACGGTTTTTATGATAGTCGATAAATAGTTTAAGAAGTAAGCCTCTGTCCTCAACATTCTCCAGTTTTGGAACGAAATTACTTATCGCATGTTACACTCTGGCGCTTGGCGGATAGGAGCTACACGAAAAAAAGTGTAACCGCAACGAAGAACACTGACTGCTGTATTATTTTAGTAAGAATTTCAAAAGCTCCTCGTATTCGTGACTTTTACAAATCCGTTTACAAAAGTCGACCCCACTTTGAATACACCAGTTCTCGTTTGATCACCGATATTAAGCAGCGTCGGGTGCAGTCAGTGCTTAGATGAGTGAACGCATAGGAAGACCGTGAGATGTTGGTTTTTTTTTGATGTTGCATTCTTTTTATGGTAGTTTATAATAAATGTTAATAATAATTTTAATAACAATATTTTGTTTCTACTCCCTTAATCTTTTTTTAGTATGTTTTGTTTAATCAATTTCAGAATTGTTATTTTCTTGTGCTAGTTATTTAATTACAGTACACGTCAAAAGGATTTTCTTTCCAACCAGGTGTCTCAAGACACCACTTATTGTTTTTTTTTAATCATAATTGGAATCGAATCTGTATCGAATGCTTCATCAAGGTCAAGAAATATTGCATGGCACTATTTCTTTGAATCTAGATTCAGCACAATGGTATTTATTAGTTCAAATACAGTGTCATCAAATAATCTACCAGCTCTAAAACCAAACTGTTCAGCAGCTAGACAACTATTGGATTACAAGAATGACATCTGTCACTTAGACACTAATTTATCAAAAAAATTTACCTAGCAGACAAGCTAGAAATAAGCCTGCAATTATTGATCCCGATCCTTAAAAATTGGTTTAACGATAGAAGTTTTAAAGTTTTGTGGAAAGATACTCTGGTCAATTATATATTTACATAAACAGTAGGCATAATTTTCCTGAATCTCGATAATTTTAAAGTGACCTTCGTACGCTTTGAGATGTAATTTATGATAAAAAGTGCTCACTTTCAGTTCGACAAAGTTCGTTCTGGATTCAAGACCAATATTTTCGAAGTGATTGTAAGGGATAGAAAATTATTTTATTTCTTTCATTTTATCAGCCCTTTTTTATGAATTGTTTTTCTTTGATTATATGCCAAAGTATGACTCTCACTTCAGCCTACCTCTTGCCTGCCTCCCTCTGCCTGGAAGCAGCTAGAGAAGTCCTCCCCTATCTGCTTTCATTGAATTCTATCACAAGCCACTGTCTTCTAGTTTGGGCCAGCTGTAAACTTTAACTGAACTTAATCTTAGTTGTTCATTTCATATTCTATCCTTTTTGCTTTCTCCTGTCATACTCCTTTTCATAGATCTGTGATAAAATTACAATTTGTTTCTGTGATGCTTTGCAAGTATACATGTTTCACATTCATATGTAAGACAAGACAAAATACAGATGTAAAATACTCTTATTTTTTCCAAAAAAATACTTTGATATCTGGATTTCATACTTTTAGTGACTAATATTTTTTTCCGTCTACTCCTGAGAGCTCCTGAGCAAGCGATGATGAGTATAGAACTTCAGTTTATGTATGACCGAAGTACCACTAAATACTTATGAGGAATTGATCATGATGTAGTCTATTTCATTTTTATGTTTCCCATCAGGTGACCTTCAGGTTCATTTGTTGTTCTTGTTATTTTTAAACATGCTATTGAGAACATAAAAACTGTGTTCCAATAGGAACTCTACTAGTTTTTGACCATTGGAACTCCTTTTTCCATGACCGGAATTCCCTAAAATTTGTTTTTACATTGTTCTGTTTTGCTTTAACTTGTACATTTAAGTCTCCCAGTAGTATTATGTAATTACCTAAGAATTTGATTCAGACTTAAAATAAGTCCTTATACAGAGCTTCAATTTCTAGTTTGTTTACTTGTTCCGTTGGTGTAAAGGTCTGAATAATTGCCCAATTCTTTTTTGTAGCTAGGTATTTTTATGTTCAGGGCTGCTATCTGTCAGAAATTCAATTTATGTCTACTATGTTTTTTCTGATATGGGTTTTTTATGAAAAAACCAACACCTCGTTATCCTCCAGTCTCTCCTTTTGAGTACAATATGCGGCCTGTGCTCTGTTCTATTATTTTATGTACTCTTCTTGTTTAATTAATTCCTATAATGTCCCATTTCATGTCTTTTCTTTTCATGTCTTGATATCTCCAGTTCCAATAAAGATTCAGGAGTTCTCAGTGTTCCAGTGTTCAATGTAACAATGTTTTGTGCTCATTTTTTCCTTCGGTAACCACCTTCGGTGTGTTGGATAGAGAATTATATCATAACTGTAATATTAATGCTATATAATTCAAAACAAATATAATCATTTTGAAGTAACTCTTACAAATAAGAAGCTGCAATAATCCTAAATCGCTCCTGTGTTTCGATTTACAGTATCAAAATAGAAAATGACTTATGAACCACTTTGGTGACCCTCTATTGTTTATCTGACTTACCTTTTTGTAAGACAATTTTTTTTCTCTCAGAGATAGTAGAATAAAGAAAATTTAGAGATCAGCAAATGTTTTAGCACCTGAATATTAGAGTATGCTGATTGCTTTACGAAATTCATATCTATTATAGTTTCTGTCAAAATCAATATTATTTTGTTAATGCAATACTTTAATGTCGAATAATAAAAATTTTGAAATTATACATACTGTCGCTAATTGTTCAATAGACATGCGTTGAAAATTCGAAAGATAAATTAACGTATTGTCTTGTAAAAGAAAGTAGAAAACCAAACATTAACATACCATAACATACTCAAAATGCTATTAAGAATAAAATCTTCATCAAAATCATTTGTACAAACGTATATAATAATAGTTTAAATAAAACGTTTTAGTAACGATTAATAATTTATTCGTAATAACTCAAAACAATACATGATTTACAACGGCAAATAAAAAATAATGAATCAATTTATGACATAAAAATATTGACATGAGTTCTTACGTCGCTGTGTTCTTGCTTGAAGATATAATCGTACTAGTTTGAACAGTAGTGGAAAAGCGTACGGCTTGGAATGCGCCCAAATTATATGCTCCAGTTTCAATAGTTACAATATGGAATAAAAAGTTTTCACTATTTTCGGGAAGCAATCACAGAAAAAGATATGTTTGAAGTCATGTTACCCTGACATTTGAGAATAAAACACGGACAAGCGCAAATAAGTAGTAGAGCAAGAGCTCACGACGACCAGACCTTCGTTATTTTATAAAAGCTGAAAGTTTGCCTATGCATGTCCCCTATACAACAGGTATGAACGATCAGCGACTATAGAGTTTGGGTCGTGGTTACTTCGGCAGGTAACAGGTAGCAAAGATGTATAAAACAATATCTTAAATTCGTTAGAGTATAAAGCTCAATTTTTTTATGTTTTCTTAACTTTAGAAATCTCGTCATTCATTGGCAGGCACTTGTGACAGTTGCTACCCCTGCCAGACACCCCTAAACTTGAATAAATTATAATTATATTTTCGTTAAAGTATAGAAGCTGAATTTTATATATGTTACATAAGGACCTATAAAAAGATGTTACCCCAATAGCCAGACAGTTTTGATGGTTTTTACATCTTGCCAGACATATTGAAAGTCCGCTGTAGGTGCGAGCGATAATGCTTAGTCGATTGCGATTTTTTAAAATATCTAATAAAAAAATAATTTTATTACGTTCACAGCCATCTTAAATAAAGTAAAAAAAAATATTTTTATATTAAAAATTACAAAAAAAAATATTATTATTTGGAAATAAAAGTATTTAATCGTTCATATAAATTTCATCATTGTCGTCGGTATTTTCATTTTCTTCGTCACTACTCCCCCAGTCAATGGCCTGATCGTCATCAATATCGCCTTCTTCGTCGGTTTCTGAAAAAAAATAAGCAAGTTTATACAATTATGAATAATTAAAAAATTATGTGCAATAATTTGTCATAATAATCACATGACTAACATAACTTGGTAGTTCTCCTTCAAACTATTTGAACTGGTATTTTTCATCTTTCAGAGATTTATATGCAATGTATACAATGAACCCTAAAAATAAGCATATTGATACATAGGTATTTAAAGTGAAGAAGTATAAAAGTATTTAAAAAAAAATTGTATTTTAACATATTTTGACATTTGTAACCTATTGCGGTATGGAAGGTATTAGGTGCTTTGATTTATTTTTAAGTTTACACTCCGAACATTTGTGTCAGGTCAGATTTCAAAGTTACAAACATTACATTCCCTCGACTACGGGCGTTTGTTCATATTACTGAAAAATATCATTACATAATATACGACTTTAGTGCGCTCACTGTTCGTTGCTGTGTCGGGTTTCTCAATTATCAGCCCCATGGCGACCACGGCCCTTATATGCTTAAAGTCAGTTTCGTTCTGTTACATACATTTATACATTACTCACATGTCCAAGATTGGTAGGTGAGGATTATATTCACGTTGTTCTTTTTTTTATGTATTTTCATATATATATATATATATATATATATATATATATATATTTCTGTAAATATATATTTTTTATATAGACATGTATTGCATTTTTGCTTTTTTTATTTATTTAATTAATTTTTTTTTTATTTTTATTTTATAAAACCATATTTTTGTTTTCTTACATCTAATATTATCTTACGTATGCTATGTATTTTGTCTTATTATAACTCACTTATATCTATGTATACGTTATTTACTTATGTGTATTATTTCAATACATATTTTATTTCAAGGTCAACATAATTAAAAATATAACACTATTTCCCTACCATCCCGAGCCTGTTCAATTAATCTTTTAATTGGAACCTTTTTTCTTTATTTCTCATACCTTTCGTTCCTTTATTAAGTTTCAATATTTACGTTATGATATTTGCTTATTAAGTCCTTTTTAATTTTCTATTTGGTTATATTTAACTTGCAACATCATTCCACGACCATGCCGCAGGACGTCAAAAACCTCTCCCTTTTACCGGCATCTTCCAAGATTTCCGGGAAGTTTCGCCTCGCGATCCGCACGTCTATCCCAGCTTCTAATAACTCACGCTCCCGATGGAACATATCGCAGTCCTCGAGGACGTGCTGCACGTCCTGGATTTTGGCGGGGTCACAGGCACAGTAGGACGAGACTCGCACCTTGAACCCATACAGATACCGCGCGAACCCACCGTGGTTCGTTAGGGTCTGTGCCACTTGGGACGTTATTTCGATCTTGCTGAGGACCATATACGCTTCCTGCACTCAGGTAAAGAAGCATTGGTGATTTCACCCGTGCTTCCTTTGGCGTATCGTTCTTGCCACTCCTC